TATCCTGATTAATATATTTATTAAGCTTTTTGAGAAAGTTTGTTATTGGTTGAAGATTAGTATCATCAGCAAAATGATACGTTTTTGAATGTTTGATAGAAAGATTTAGATCATTAATATAGATAATAAAAAGAAGACAACCTAATATGGATCCCTGAGGTATACCAATTGAAACATTTTTAATATTTGAGCTGGTTCCATTTATAATTACAAACTGTTGACGATCAGAAAGGTATGATTTGAACCACTGCAAGGATATGCCACGTACATCATAACAGTTAAGCTTTGAGAGAAGAATTTCATGGTCTACGGTGTCAAAAGTTTTTTGCAAATCAATAAAAACCAGACAAGCAAAGTTCCCATTATCAAGAGCAACTCTTATAATGAAGCCATCGGGAAATGTTCCTTTGCGAAATGAGTTGTTTAAAATGATACTAATTGGTTTACATAGAATTCCTGATACCAGTTTAAAAAGTTTTGTTGGAAGACTACTTGGACCAACAATCCTCCCTCCTATAATAGTGGAATTTATATAATCAAGAGTTTCCTCTTTCGTTATTGGTTGCATATAAAAAGAGTTGCTTGTAGGATTGGTCAGGTACTTATGATAAATGAATTTAGAATTCGGAATTTCGTAGGATAATTTTGAAGCAATCATAGTAAAAAGGTTATTAAAATGGTTTGACATTAAGATTCGGTTTTGCATTTGTTGTTAATGAGTATGCTTGTTAGAAAATTACTATTATTTCGTTTAACATTTATCAACTCCTTTATACCTTTCCAGGTGTTTTTTATGCTATTGAAGTTGTGGCTAAATTTCTTTTTGCTTAACATTAGAAGATTGCTTATACTATTACGATAGTGTTTAAATTTTTTAAATAATATTTTTTATTCTACAGTTTTTTGATTTTAAATATTTTTTATGAAGTTTATTTTTAATTGTTATTGACTTGAGAATGTTTTTTGTTACCCAAGGTTGATTACGTTTATCTACTTGATTTTTTGTTAACTTTTTATAAGGAGCATGTTTGAGCATGTTTGAGATATGATCAAATATTTCAATTTATTTTTTAATAGAATTTTTAACATCACTGTCGTATTTTATATGGTCATCCCATTCAACATTTGAAATTTCTTGGATAAATTCAGCTTTTTAAAAAATTTTAAAGCATCGCCTAACAATAGGTTTAGATGAAGTTTGAGTTTTGGTATGTGGAATTAACATGATGAACAAGATGATAAGATATTGAAGCGGTAAGGTTGCCTGAAATTATTTCAGAAGAATAAAAGTTTAAAAAATATTATCAATTATTATCTTAGAATGAGTGGTTATGCGTGTAGGCTGTATAACAAAAAGAAAAAGAGAATTTGAGTAATTGATTCTAAAAAATAAGATACCTCATTGGAGGTGTTGTATTTGAGCAAGTCAAAGTTAAAATCTCCCATTAGCGTAAACTTTTTTTTGTCTAAGTTAATTTTCTCAAGAAGTGAATTTAGGTTGTAATCAACGAATTCATTTGGACACATTGATGGATAGCGATATAAACAACCCACTATTAGACTGCTTTTTCTTAAATTTATAACTTCAATAAATATAGATTCGAGTTCCTTACTTTTAAGCTGGACTAATTCAGATCTAATTTTAGAATTTAAGTTAGACTTAATATACATTAAAACACCACCTTTTTTAGCTTAAGTTGGCGTGTGAACAGATACATATCTTTCTAATTCAACGTTAGTTATAGAGAGATCGTTATCGTACAAGTTAGATTCAGTAATCACAATGATATCAGATAAATTATCAAAAGATGCTAATATTATTTTACCGTCGTCAATATGGTAAGGTAATGAAGATATGTTTATATGGAAATAATTTAAATAATTTTGGGACAATTTATTGTACATAGGAACATCTACATATTCACACTTAATTGAAGTGGAAGATAAGTGATTGATGTACTCTAAAAGCAAGTATGGTAGATAACTCAAGATCCGAAATGTGAGAGAATGGAAAATATGTTTTTGTACAGATTAGGCAATACCAAGTTTCTAAAGTTTTGACTTTTTTATATGTTAGTTTAAATAATAAAATAATAAAACATTGAATCGTTTTTTGCCACTGTAGAAAATGTAAGGAGTTTATAATTTTATAAAAACTGGGCTCAGTAATAAAACAAAGTAATGTCTTTTTCTTGCTCCAGCCACTTATTTTATTGTATGTACATGTATATGAAAATTGTATTTGTTGTAAAAATAAAATAAACAAACAAATACTAAAAAGGAGGCTGCTTCTTTTTTATTAATGTTGTTAGAATCTTTTTATATCTATATTATAAAAAAATATAACCCTGTTTTTCGTTTTTATGGTTATACATAATGCTCAATCAAATTGCGTAATCAAGAAATTTTTGTCTTTTATTTAAAACCTTTTAAACTATGAACTTTAAGTTTAAACAAACCTAATTTTTGGTGTTTTGGTAAAAGTAAATAAATAAAATATGTTTCGTAAAATAAAAAAACAAAAATTAGAAAAAAGAATTAACATAACTCTTTTTCAACAAATGAAAGGATTTATGTAAAAACTTCTTTTTCTTTTTATTTAAATAATTTTTTAATATTAAATATAATATTAACTAATCAATTAATAAAGAAAATGCAGGAGAAACAGATCAAAGGCTTGAACAGGACAGCTTTATTTTTGTTTATTTTGAATTTTGTTTAAAGTTATTACAGTTTTTAACAATGGAATTTTTAAGGAAATTTATCGGCTTGTAAGAAGATGTAAAAATATATTAAAAACTTTCTAAATTTCATGAAAAGTTTATTAGCGGTTATTTTTTATTACTACTATTTTTTTGATTAAAATCTGACTGTAAACTTCCGATTTTAAAAACTTTTATTAGATTTTAAAAAATTTTTTATACCGTAGAAACAGTTAATTATGGATGAATCCCAATTACAACGGGTAATTACGGATGAACCCTAACTACAACGGTTAATTACTGATGAATCCTAATTAAAATGGTTAATTATAATAAAGCATTGTAATTTAACTATTATTTAGATTTTTTTTCATAAATAAAAAGAAAAACAAACCAAATAAAACGATGTAAAAATTTTTTATTATGTTATTGCGATCGAGTTAAATTTCAATTTCAAACCTATCATTATAAAATTAACTTCTTTTTAGTGAATATATATATATATATATATATATATATATATATATATATATATATATATATATATATATATATATATATATATATATATATATATATATATATATATATATATATATATATATGTATATTTTTAAATAACTTTTATATAAACAAACTTAGAATTACAAAGTATTGTGCAAATTTCAAGTTTGATTAATAATAATAATATTAAACTGTTATTAACACTATGTGAAATAAATTAAATTAAACCAAAAAGTACACAAAAATAAAAAATCCGGGGCGAACTTACAAAATAGTGTTGTTTCTTACGAACACCACTTTTTCGTAGGTTTTTCAACGTAACTTGTACAAACTTATGAAAAAGTGTTGTTTTTTAATAGAAATTAATTTTGGTAGCATAACTAAAAAAAGTGCCAAGTAAATAGAAGAAAAAAAATCTGTTTATGCAAGGCATTCTAAAGTATAATGCCTTGGTTTATAGAAGGTCTTGGTTTGGTCTTCTTTAGAAGGTCTTGGTTTATGTTATTTCTTTTTGATATGCGTCCGTAATTAAACCTGCGTATTGGTAATTACGAATTAAAAGTGCAAGAAATATTATTCTAAATGAAATAAATATTTTAATATAGTTCGATACGTTTTTTTTTAAAGCTTATTTTTTTATCTATATACATCCGACCAGTGAAAAATCGATTAACAACCGGCGATTAAAAAATTAGGGTGGAATGCAAGAAGCGAACTTGAGTCAAGCTCAACTTGAACTTTACATTGCAACCAATAGCGACAGAATATGGGTTTTCCCCTCAAAAAATACTCTGCCGCTATTGGTTACAAAGTAAAGTTCAAGTCGAACTTGACTCAAGTTTGCTTCTTGCATTCCACCCTTAATCAATTAATTAAGAACTAACTGACAAGTATTCATATATATATATATATATATATATATATATATATATATATATATATATATATATATATATATATATATATATATATATATATATATATATATATATATATATATATATATATATATATATATATATATATATATATATATATATATATATTATATATATATATATATATATATATATATATATATATATATATATATACATATATATATATATATACATATATATACATATATATATATATATATATATATATATATATATATATATATATATATATATATATATATATATATATATATATATATATATATATATATATATATATATAATATATATTTTTCCTTATACTAAACTCTCATAAAAAGTTAAAGAATTCATCACTAAAATTGTAAATTTATGCAGTAGTGGTCCAGCGGTAGAACGTTCGCTTCATAAGCAAGATGTTACGAATGACTTCCACCACATCCATGGTAGTACCATACTCAACTTGTTTCTTCGCGCAGCGGCCTTGTTTGTCAAGGTTTGTGTTTTGGAGGAAAAGAGTTGAGAGAGGGTTGTAAATGCAATAAAGTAGTTTTATCCACTGTAGTGGCCTTCTCCGTCTTCGCGATGTGAACAACATAAAAATTAAAAGATATTATAAAAATTAATTCAGGGGTTCATCAATCAAAATTCTCACAAGAGGTTCATGGTACCACCTTACTCGCATAATTTTATTTAAAATATTAAGTTTCAAGAAGCCACTAAACAATGTAACTAAAAAGTGACTTAAATTTATTAATGCTGATGTTGTTACAACTTGATAATCCCTGCTATTTGTTTAGGACCAGTTTTTATTCATTTGCAAAAAATTTAATCATAATCAACAACAAAAAGAAAGAAATTGTATAAATTTGCTCTTTTCAAACTACAAGATTCTTTATCGTTCTAATATTTAAAAGATTTTGAGTTATACTGTTGCCTGCTAAATTCACTATTGTGGTGCAACAGCTGCAACTTTAAAAATTGTTTTTATATCTCTTCTTAAAGTTTCCCTAAAGTTTTTGTACACTAGGCAATAAATGATTGGATCAAATATTGTAGATAATTTAGAGAACAGAGCACAAAAAAATAAGAACCCTTTTAGTTTTTTATATCCGAGGCTTAAAGCAAAAACGCATAAGGCATATGGGCTCCATACAATAGCAAATGATGCCACAATAAGACACGCGTTAATAAAATCTTGTCGTGCAAGTTTATAAGTGTCTTTAGTAATTAACGCATTATTTCCCGAAACCTTTTTACATTGCTTCAGCATACTTCGAAGCTCTAAATGCACTTTTAATGTAAAGAAAGAAATTGCACTTAAAGGCATAAAATAGAAAAATACTATAAAAACAAACAGATAGCTGCGTTTTAGAAATTCATCCGGATAATATATTACTGTGCAGCGATAATAACTTGAGTTTTCTTCCCCTAATTTAATCCAGCCAAATAAAGGAGCTGACGACCAAAATAAACCATAAATCCAACAAGGTAAAATAAAATACAACACTCTTCTTTTTGTATCAACAAAGAAATAATGTATTTTTAGGGGATGCGAAATTGATATAAAACGGTAGATGCATAACCATACTAAATGCGAAACTGCGGTTATAGTTAAATACAACTCAATAAACCCACTGATTCCACATAATTTTTTAGTTAATGGTTCGTGTTTGTGAAAGTAACTATACACATAATTAAGGTACCATACTGTAATACTCATTCCTTCACACAGAGCAAGACTCATTAAAATTAAGTGACGTAAATCTTTTGACCGTTTTTTTGAAACTGTTAAAATTACGATAAGATTTAATACAACAGAACATCCGCACAAAATAGATGAAAGCACAATCACAGAAATCATTTATAAGTTTGATTCAATAACTTGAACTTTCAATCAATACTTGTAGTTTTAATTAATTTAAGTTTAAAACAAATATTTTTATATATTGTAAAAAACATTTATAAGTTATTAAAATTTAATAACACTATTTTAAATAAATTTTTAATATATATATAAAATTTATATACTGTTTAATTATACATAAATATGACCATAAATATATAATACAGAGATAAGATGTCGTGACGTTACTGTTCGGTTTACCATAATGTTATTGTAAGGTCTTGACGTTGGCACAAAAATTAAAATATATAATAAATTCCCAGAAATCATTTTATCACTTATCGGTTTCTCCCCCTCCCTCTCTCGTTATAAGAGAATCTCACTATTTAAAAGTTCATAAAAGGTCCATTTTTACACAAAGGCTCAGTTTTCAAAAAGGCTTTAAATAAAAACCGATTAGATATTTTTGTGTGAGCGTACATGAGAACGTGTGTGCTACTACTTGTTTATTTATGTCGAGGTTTTGCATGAGATTATAATTACAAATTTTATTATTAGTTACTTTCTTACTACAAATTGAGAATTTAACTATTAGTTACCATATTTTCACTTTTAAATTAACTAGAAAGAAGTTTTTTAAAAAGCCTAAATTAGATTTGTATTTTTTAACTTAAATTAAAGCTACCAGTCGTCATTAAGCAATTTATTTGAAATTAACAACCTGTTTTATCCTTATTATTTTTAAATAAGCTACCAGTACTTCACTTACCAATTAAATTTTATACGAGGTACCAGTGTTTTATTTACTAATTATATTTCATATTAGCTGCCTTTTTTATCAATTAGAATTTAAATCAGCAGCCAGTTTTTCAGTTATCAATTAAGTTATCTGCAGCCTCTCTAAACTAAATTTACCAACTTAATTTTTTACTGCTTACTCTATTAGTATAAGTTTTACTTTCCAATTTCGTACAAGACTATTACTTTTCATCTAGTTACAAAGTTTTTAACAGTTTATTTTCCTTTTTACATTTTCATAAATTTTAATAAAAAGTTTGATTTTAAAAAATTACTTTTTTTTTTTAAAGATTATCTGTTTGTTTATAAATTTTTTATCAACGATTTTTCTTTTGCAGATTTAAAAAAAAAAACAACTTTTATTTTAAAACTCAATAACGGATTTTATCTGATTCAAATAAATAAGCATATTGAACTTTGAATTTTTGATTTTTCACTACGATAACTAATTTTAAATCATCAATAATATTTCCAAAATCCGCTCCTAATGTTTAGTTTTAGCTTATTGCCGCCTTCCTCACCCTTTTTTTTTATGTTTAGTGCGTATGTAAAATTTAACATTGCTATGTATATGGGCGATTCCACGGAAATAGTGATAATTTTAACAAAAAATAAAATATATATATATAGACTTTTTTTTATAGATACTAATTAAAAAGAAACAAACAAAAATAGTTCATTAGTTTTGCAAGTAAAACTGAAGTTGTTTTACATTCAAAGTATATCTAAAACCTTTTGTACTTCTTTTTTAAAAGGTTGGAAACTAAAGTTAAGTTTAAACTAGTTTTAGTTCAGTTTTATTAGTTTACTGTATAACAAGCTTTGCTAAAGCACGACTGGCATAAAAAACTGGGGACAAGTTTAAGGATATAACTTTGAAGCAGTTTTAATTTTTAGTAAAGCGATTTTTACCAGAATGTTATATTTTTTTTATATATCTCTTAAAATTAACTTTTTAAAAGTCAAGTTTTAATAAAATCGTTTTTTTTTTAACTTTTTAACAAAGACGTATTTGAAATATTACGTAAGTAGTGTATCTTGAACTGATGAGAGGATTAAAGACATTAATAAATGTTTAAAGCTATTTTAATTGTAAATTTATGATGTCTTTTTTTACCAAGTAAATAGTATTCTAATATTATCAATAGGAGTTTACATATTTATATTCAGAAAGTATCATTATCTACTTTTTTGCCATAAATGTAGCAGTAAGTTAACATATAGGGTTTGTTAATTTTTTGCCAAAAAACTATGCCACCATAGTACTGCAGCATGAGATCAACACTAATCTCATCAAAAAGTACATTTCATGTTTTTTATCTTTATGTTTGGAGAAAACATGACTGATATAAGTAGTACCATGTGAGGGTTTACATTTAAATGCGATTCTTCCTAAAGTACGTAAACTTGGAAGTTCAAATTTTAACTGATGCAATTGAAGACTGGTTGTAAAAGGGAAAATGATCAAATGCTGGCAAACTTGTTTTAATTGGATACTTCTTATTCCCAATATATGTTTTATTCATCATTTTATTATATATTTTATTCAGTAAATAACTTCTAGTATATATTTATTTATTATGCTAGTTAAATATTAGATTACAATTAAATTTCATATAAAATAAAATTTAATAAAACAATAAGAATAAAAACAAGAGGCTCAAAGAAGATATGGACTGCAAAATACTGACTTAATCTTTGCATAGAGCCCTTATCAATCATAATAAAATTTGAATATAATATCTTGGTAAAGAAGTCGTTTAAAAACTTTGACCCGTAAATTTAAATAAAATATAAGAAATTACAAATAAATAAAGAAAATGTAATAGTCATTTCGTAAAATTTAAACTATTTTGTTATAATTAAATCGTCTTTTTAAATATAGTTTCATAACTTTGATATTTTATACAATAATCTGTGTATTTATTGATTTTTTAGGTAACTTTTTTATGTTACATATATTTGTTCTAAAAAAAATACTTCTTTTCTAAATTTTTATATAGTTTACTTTTAAATATTTCACGAGTATGCCGTTGTAGTATGTGTTGATAAATATTTATTTTATATATTTCATCATTTTCCTATTTTTTATTAAAGAATTGTTAGTTGACAACTTGCAAACGTAATAAAAAATTGTTGGTTGAAAACTTATCCACGTAATAAAGAATTTTTTTTTTACTGTAAAATTTATTTTTTAAATAGATTTTGATAAAAACACTTTTTAAAAAAGTGAAGAGAAGAAAACTTTTTTTTTTAAGAACTTGTTGTATATTCTTTAAGAACTTGTTGTATATTTTTTAAGAACTTGTTGTAGATTTTATTTGCATATGAATAATTCTATGAGTGTTTTATTCATCCAAGGATTACTTATTGCTTCCCAGTGGGCACAGGACGTAAAAAAGACGTCATTAGGACGTTCAAATCGCGTCCGTCCGTCCCATTAAAATTATAAACGTCTTTTGAACGTCTTTTTCGCGTCCGATAATTTTTTCGTCCAAAAAATATCCAGAATGCTTTATTAAATAAAAAAAAATCAGTAAAATCACGCAAGCGCTACAACTTCATAAATTTTTTAAGTAACGCATTTTTAATAATGTTTTTTTTTCAATTACAAAAGAAGTCTTTTTACAACAACTAATAGACACGTTCCATCTAATTTTTGTTTTTGTTATCAATTAAAAATTGTGGTAATATTGATACAGGTAATGAAATTTTTACAGATAATGAAAGAAACGGTTTAAAACTGAATATATGCTATACTATGTATATATATACTTGATATACTATTAGTATATTATTGCTATATCAAGAACCAAGTTCTAACAATTTCAAAGATTTAGACATCTCATGCAGAATCGAATTTTTCAATAAGAAAACCTGTTAATGATACATGGAACAATTATCCTGATAATTCTTTGAATTCAATGTCTTTACTCAACAACATGCTATTTTATAATGGAACCAGTACATTAGTTAATGATCTTCTTGAAATATTGCCAAATCAAGGTTTGGAACTTCCCAAAGATTCAAGGAGAATTTTAAAAGCACTTTATGAATAGCGACTTATAGACAGGTTCTTGCTAATTTATATATATATTTTTAAACATTTAATTACTTGAGAATCATATTAATTTTGATACAAATATTGATATTGATACAGATATTGAAATAAATAGTTAAAAACTGGGTATATGATATACTATATATATATATATATATATATATATATATATATATATATATATATATATATATATATATATATATATATATATATATAATAATAATAATTATTATATATATATATATATATATATATATATATATATATATATATATATATTTATATATATATATATATATATATATATATATATATATATATATATATATATATATATATATATTAAGTGTATACTTGACACTTGATATAGTATTTCAAGTATAATAATTGATATACTATATCAAGAACCAAGTTCTGACTGTTTGAAAGACTTAGACATTGCAGAATCTCATGCATAGTCATATTTTTCAAAAGGAAAACCTATTAATAATGCAACAAGTTTATGGTGATAATTCAATAAATTCAGTATCTTTAATTAACAACTTTTAGATTGTTCTATTCGAAATAATTGGACTAGTACATTAGTTAATGAACTTTTTGAAATATTACAATATCAAGTTTTGAAACTTCGCTAATAACTAATTACTTAACTTTAGTAATTAGTTATTAGTGAAGTTTAAAAGTTTTGACTAAAAAATAAGTCTAATTGAAAAAATTAAACCAGTCATAACAGTTATATAAGAAACAGGAGGGTAGAAAATTTCCTTTACTCTAAAGGAAATTTTCTACCCACCTGTCTCTTATATAACTGTATTAACATATGAATAACCACTAAAACACTATCACGTGTTGGAATGTTATTTGCAATTTACTAAGTAACCGATGAGAAACACTCCTTAATTTCTCCTTTTTTTTATCATCTAGGAAATTTTATTAAAGTAAATGGATTATACTTATTATTAAAGAAATTATATAGTCCTATGATTAATTGCAAACCTATATTTCTATTGTGTGTATATATATATATATGTATATATATATATATATATATATATGTATATATATATATATATATATATATATATATATATATATATATATATATATACATACAACCCTTGGAATTAAGAAAAAATAGGTTGACAATAATTTGTCGACATCAATCAAAAAAGCAAAAAAAAGTGACTCAAAAGTCTTA